GCTTATTGTATTTGGGCCCATTGGAATCCTGGGCTGCTTTCATAGCTAGGTTTTCGTCTTCCACCCGTTGGGCCACCTCCACTAATTGGCTCGGTCCTCTTGGTCGTAGGAGTCGGATTTCAGCTCTTATATGGGCCTTGAGTCCATTTACAAAAGTGCTCTCCATCACCTCCTCTGGAATTCCGAACAACTGTGCAGCTAGAAGTTCAAAGGTGCGTCTAAATACGGCCACTGTACCCTCCTGTCGGATCGCCATAAATTTTTCACATAGGCTCCCTTCTTGTGTAGGTCGGAAACAAAGCAGAAGCTGGCTCCGAAATTGTTCCTAGATTTGGAACGGATTCCTAGCCTCAGCCTATTGCAACCATGAAAGAGCTTCACCGTCCAAGCTTACTCCAACTGCACTTAGCTTCTCCCTTTCCGTAAGGCCATTAATCTTGAAATACCGTTCTGCACGATATAGCCATCCGTCTAGGTTCTCTCCACTGAACATGGACATTTCCAATTTTCAAACTCTCCGCCAGTCACTTAATTCCTTAGTCTGTCCGGTGTTAGCTATTTCACCGCCATAGCTTCCTTCGCTTGAGACTTCTGGCCCTTGTCCAGTACTTGCCTTCCGCTCATGGATTCGTTGATGCCATGGGCATGTCCCTCCATAATGCTTCCAAATCCTTCGCCTGTCGAGTTTTGGTTTGCTGCCACCATGGGAAAGGACAGAGCTATCACTGCTTTCTGGGTGGCCTCTAACGTTTGCATCATCCTGGCCATGTTTTATGTTAACTGCTCCACGGATTGTTCGAGCCCCGATAAGCGTTGGTTCAATTGCTCCATCTCCTTTTCTACCACCTCTACTTTGCTATCGGTCTTCTTCTGGGCCATCAAGATTTTCTTGCTCAAATACCACTTTGATGGGATTATGGAAGGGAAATGCAAACAATGCTAGGGAATAACACTGATTGATAAAAGAAATTTTGTTGAATGAACTGGACAATTTGATTACAGGAATGGAAATGACAATAGTAGTGTAAAATAAACCACTCTAGACTTCTTCCTCTCAATACTTTCTCCTCCTCAGGTAATACCCTCGAAACTGCATTTTGTTAGTGGCTCCCCTCCCTTCAACCAGATTCTGTTATTTGTTACTTCCCGCCAATGGCCCACTAGGCTTCTTCCCCCTTCTAGAATAGATTTGCATAATTGGGGGCCTACCAGAAGAGAATAGAAAGGATGGAAGAAATAGAAGAAAGGGGAGAGTCAAACGAGATGGAAATTAGAGGGAGACCATTCTCGTTTATTAAATAATCAAGTCTAAGCATTACAATCCATAAACACTTTTACAGTTTTACTGGTCCTAAAAATTCCTAAAAATCTATGGAACAACTTAATAATAATAATAGTAAGGAAAATCTATCTAAATAATTTTGAAATAACTCATATATTATTTAATAGAAAGTCTTCAATAAGTAGTCTTCTAATAATATATCAAGGATCTGAATCATCATGTCTTTAGATATCATAATGCAATCACCTGACATCTTAACTGGGCACATGGATCTCTCACAGCCTTGGTTTATATTCATAATGATGCCACAAGAATTTAACATGTCCTCAAGATATGTTTCAGACACCACTATTTATTTACAAACCATTTTTGCTCAATGAGTTGTAAATATGATACAAAGTATTTGGTAATACTCGATTCTTTATCAGATTTATTTAATAATAAAATAATTTCCTTAACCAATTTAGCCCTATTTGATCCCCATTCTCTAAAAACTTATTTTTTTTATTAAACTCATTTTCAATCATACGTTCTCACAATGAAATATTTTGCACATAAACAAAAAACTTTTTCCTAATTTTTAAAGAGGAGTTCTCTAAAAATTCACCATTTCAAAACTCAGTTTCAACCAAAAAAGGGGATCAAACATAGGCTTTGTTTGAGAATCAACATAAAAATTTCATTCCTGCTTGTGATTTCTAAAATGAAGTTCATTTTTTGTACTATAGAGGTAGTATCATTTTGAATACATAATATCAATCATTTATAAGCATGAAACATAACAGGCAATCATCCCGATGACACCCCTCTAGAGGGAATCTATTTTTCAGGGTCAATAAAGCAGTCAATCCTGTGGATCCCGTGTTGCCCATTCTACAAACATCCGAGGAGGATTGCATAAAGGTGAACCGATAATTCATTCAAATTTATTTAGTTTGATAGCTTTAACAGGTATTCAACAAACAAGGAATGTCAGTCATATATTATATTTCTCAACCAAAAAAATAATCCAGACCATAACTGCCTTGAATGATACAAAGCTAAAATAGCTAGTTTCACAGTTAAAACATCGGCTTTGATGAATTTCCCATGTAGTTTCTCAGTGAAAGAGTAATATTATATTTGAGATTAGTTTATGGAAAAGTTCCATTGATTTTAGTGGTTGTCTATCTTTACCTATTGTGTTAATAGGCACAGATTTACTGTCATTTTATACAAATCCAACAGCCCCAATCCCAACAGAGGGTGGCAGGTCGTGAAAATTGAATCCAAACAATGTGAAGTATACATAATAAAACAAACAAGAACAGGTTATACCTGTGGAATCACAATTGCCAGATTCAAAACCCCCATGGACAATCCTGCAAGATTGAGATAATAAATCCAACCATTTAACCTCCATGCTACCATTTAAACGCAAAAGGATACAAATCCCAACCAACCTTGACCCAGGCCTAAAGCTTCAATACGTGCAGATACCATGGCATATGGAACACTGTAGGTTATCTGCAAACAGAATTTCAAAAATACAATGAGGACCATTACAGACCAAGAATCATTAAAGCGACACTCGCACAAATGTGTCAGCATTAGCAGCCTCTATCCAGTCTCCACAAGAAAAGGCCCTAGAAAAGTTTGGAACAGTCATTTGAGATATCTTCTGCGCCAATATTAAATAGCAAAGCCCAGTTCAGATTTCACTATCTATAAGATACTGATGGAGAGGGGGAGGAGCTAATAATTTAACTTGCTTTCAGGTAGATGAAGTTCCTAGATATTATCAACTAGACAATCTCAATTGAAATGCTGTTTCACATGCATAGAAAGGTCGAAATGCTACAATTACCCTGCAAATTATTCTTTCAATATATTCAGCATAATGATTGTGATAATAGAGAGAATATTTCAATTTCAGTAATGAATTAAGCAACTTACAGATAACGGAATGCCAAGAACTGCGAATATTATTAGTGCAGCAATGACAACACCATTTGGAGGAAGATTGTTAACAGTGTTCATATTACTCCTGATCGCAGTAACTATAAGCATTGCTATAAA